GATTGTTCGTTGTTGAGAGGAATAACAGAACAAGTGATTTTTCAGTCTAAAGTAAATTTTCATCATATAGCATTTGTGGTTTCAACAAAGTCAGATGGTTTTTCATTACCTCACATGATAATTATACTCATAAGTTCCTTGAAGAACCTTCTTAAATTACTGGGCTCGCTACATGTGAAAAAATGAAAGATCTTATTCAGATTAATAAGTATAAGAAAAGTTGATGCCAGCATGAAGGACACATAAAAAATTCTCCGCCTAATGAAAAAGAAGGACACAAAAACATTACGTAATATAATAGAGTTCTGTAAATACAAACACACGATGCTTTTTAACCATCAGAGATTTAATCAGTGTTTAGTTAAGTAAGGTGATTCTATTTAAAGTGCGCCACAATGAACCCAAGGGACAACTTTAAAAATTTATATACGGGCATGTCCACCGCCAGTCATGAGCAAGTTAACTGGATTTTGATTTTCTCTCCTGTTAAACAATTAACATTAAACAATTAAACATTAAACAATTGTTTTCAAGCTTTAGACAACTAGTAGTACAGAACTCTGCTTTCTGAAAGAACGAAAACAAACAGAAAATGAGCCCTACACTAGTACAAGCTTTCTGTCTTGAGCCAATTTTCAGACTACAGCGTAAGGAAGTGGAAACCAAACCAAGCCTGCTGTTCTCACTGACTGAAGAGACAGACATCAGAAGTTCAGGAAGGCCTGGGCAGTTTGAATTTGCAGGGCAGACAGATGAAAAGATGGGAGCTATGGAAAAAGCGAGCTCTGGAGATTTGTGTAAAATGGTTCCTTTGACTCTTTGGCTAAATACCAGTTTGCATGTGGATGGGTGAAACTCAATGTTCTTTCCAAAGAAATAACAATCCAGGGAACTATAAACTGAACCATTCCCAAAGATTGCATAGGCCAAAAGATTTTTGAAATTCTCACTAGCCAGAATGAAGACACCACGCTACATGCACAAAGCATTCACTAAAGACCCCAAAAAGGTCACAGTTTAGTAATGGGTCTAACTTAGTCCTAAAGGAAAGAATAACTTTAGCTCTGCCCCCCACCACAGCCAAAAATAGGCCTTTCAAAGATCACACTGATTCCAAGTACCTTAGCTGCTTGCAAGAACAAAATTCAACACTCCTCAAAAGAATATACTTAATTGGGAGGCCAGGTGGGTGGATCGCCTGAGGTCAGGAGTTTAAGACCAGCCTGGCCAACATGGCAAAACACTGTCTCTACTAAAAATACAAAAATTAGCCAGGTGTGGTGGCGGGCACCTGTAATTCCAGCTACTTGGGAGGCTGAGGCAGGAGAATCACTTGAACTCGGGGGGCGGAAGTTGCAGTGAGTCAAGATTGCACCACTTCACTCCAGCCTGGGCATAAGAGCTAAACTCTGTCTTGGAAAAACAAAACAAAACAAAACAAAACTTAAAAAATCAGCACTCAGTCATGGCAGCCGCCGTTGCTGCTGCCGGTGCCGGGGAACCCCAGTCCCCGGACAAATTGCTCCCGAAAGGCGACGTGGAGAAGCCTGAGGAGGAGCTGGAGGAAGACGACCATGAGGAGCTAGATGAGACCCTGTCGGAGAGACTATGGGGCCTGACGGAGATGTTTCCGGAGAAGGCCTGGTCCGCGGCCGGAGCCACTTTTGATCTTTCCCTCTTTGTGGCTCAAAAAATGTACAGATTTTCCAGGGCAGCCTTGTGGATTGGGACCACTTCCTTTATGATCCTGGTTCTTCCCACTGTCCTTGAGACTGAGAAGTTGCAAATGGAGCAATAGCAGCAACTGCAGCAGCAGCAGATACTTCTAGGGCCTAACACGGGCTCTCAGGAGGAATGCCAGGGGCTCTACCCTCACTTCCTGGAAAGATCTAGATTGTTACTGCTGTTTGAGCTGTCTCAGTGGGATAAGTTTGAAATTCAAGTGTTTGAACTGCTGATTATTTGGAATTTTTTTTTTTAACTTTGGCACATTGATTTATCTAAACCTGGTGGGGAGAATTCTCCCCACACTGTCTTATGGAAAGACTCAACTTGCAACTGTGCCCTCCACACTATCCTTACTTCTATCTTCACTCTAATACCAGAGTGCAGCCATGCAGACGGTTATTCCTGCTCTGGCCACCCCACTCCTTTCACCAAATTGCTCCTAACTGGAAGATGTCACTTTCCCCTTGTGCGTAGGAACCGATGACAGGGGGAGGGATGTGCCCCTGACCATTAACGATTGCCTTTTTTATTTTTTAATTTTTTTTAAAAAAAGAATGGAGCTGTTGGGGAGGGACATGCACGCAATGTGAAAGATAAAATGCATTACACCTGTAGTGTAAAGTGGCCACTATGAATCCCTCTGTATGAGAGGAGGGAGGCTGGCTGCAGCTTCAGCCACAGAATGGGGACTGTGGAAGACAGATCAGGAGTTCATTTCCCCTGCACAGTTTGGTTGTTAGACCTGTATGTGTGTTTAAAAAAACAGAAGTCAGTGCTCACTTTTTGTATTTAAATATTAAAAATGATTCCAACTGAAAAAAAAAATCAGCACTCAGTAATAAAATTCATAATATCTTGCGTAAAATTAAAAAATTACTACACAGAAAGCAGAAAAATGGGGAGCAAAATTAAGAGAAAACTCAGTCAATACACATGGGTTCAGAAATGAAAGATAAAAGAATTGAGAGACAATGTTAAAACTTCTAGTTTAAAGATGTTCAAGGATTTGAACAAAAACATGAACATAAGAAATAAGTTTTTTACAATAAAGAATCAAATAGAGATTGTCAAACTGGATAAAATCGTAAGACCCAACTATTAGGTGTCCACGTGAAACACTTTCAATAAAAAGACATAGGCAGATTAAAGGAATGGAAAAAGAAATACTAATGAAAAATACAATCATAAAAAATCTGTAGTGGCTACATTAGTATTAGACAAATTTGATTTCAAATAAAAGAATATTACCAGGGATAAAGAAAAGCATTTAATAATAAGTGAATTCATTCAAGAACACATAAGAAATATAGTGTGTAATAAACTTAATAACAAAAATTCAAAATACATGAAGTAAAAAACAAAAAAAATGCAAAGGAGAAATCAACAAAATCGAAATCATCACTAGAGATTTAAGGGCCCTCTTCAGAGTCTATACTATACCATACATATAGGATAATAAGAGGAAATATCAATAAAGATGTGAAAAATACCACTATCAACAAACTTGACAAATTCTATATTTATATAACAACTGTAGAATGCATGCTGTTTTTATATACACATAGAACATTCACCAAGACAGATCATATGTTCAGTCATAAAATAAGACTCAATAAATGTAAAATAACTTCTCAGTACAGAGCATGTTCTCAGATCTATTAGAAACCAATAAATAAAAGAAAAGCAACTGGAAAATCCTCAAATATTTTGAATTTGAATACCTACTTCTAATTTACTCCTAGGTCAAAGGAGAAAACACAAGGGAAATTACCAAATATTTTGAATTGAATGAAAATAAAATAAAGTCTGTCAAAATATGTGAGATATGGCTAAGATGCTGTTTAATATTAGAAGAAAAAGGGATTTAAAGTTGATTATTTAAGTTTCCATCTTAAGAAGCAAGAAAAAGAAGAACAGATTAAGTGAGAGAAAGGAAATAATAAAAATCAGAGAGAAAAATCAATGGAATAGAAAACATAAGCTAATCCCTTAAAAAATAAATAAGTAAAACTGAAAAACATCTACCCAGACTTATCAAGGAAAATACATTCAAAAGACACAAATAACCAATAGCAAGAAAAGAAAAGGAAACATCATTAAAGATCATTTATTAGCATATTATTAGCACAGTAATTCAGTTAAGAACTGTGTATCAACAAATCATATATCCTATATGAAACAAATGTCCTACTTAAACTGACTTAAAAATAGAAAATCAGTTTGGCAGTTTCCTATAAGGTTAACCACATACTTACACAACTTAGCAATTCAACCCAGAAATTCACCCAAGAGAAATTAAATATGTATCTATCTAAAGATTCATATATGAATGTTTGCAGCTGTTGTATTCACAATAGTCAAAAATGATAAAAATTCAAACATCCATCAACAAGTGAATAGCTAAACAAACCACAAAATATCAGTTTAATTAAATACTACTTAGCAAAAAAGAGAAATAACTATTAATGCAGGCAACATGAATGAGACGCAAAAATAGTATTACTGAGTGAATGAAGTTAGACAAAAAGGTAAACATTATATGATTCAATTTATAGAGAATTCCAGAAATGAACTCCAAAGTGACATAAAAGAGATCTGTAGCTACCTAGGGGAAGGCTGGGGGTAGGGATTAATAAAGAATGGGCCTAAAGTGCATATTTTGGGTTAATAGGACTATTTTCTATTTAATTATGATGGTAGTTACATGAGAGAACGCATGTGTTAAAACTCAAACTGTACACAATAAAAAGTACTACAAGCTAATTTGAAAAAAAGATTTGGTTAGCTTAGTGCTAATTTTAGGACCACGGTTTGGATCAAGTGCTTCTCCCATTTGTTCTGCATACCTTTATTCTCCAGTTGTCCCCAACATCCTCTTTAATTCGGCTTAACCAAGATTCATTAAACCAAGCTGCATCACTGAAACAACAATAACAAAAATACTAAAGATGAAAATGCTTTTATTACACACAAAAAATTAAATAGAGACAACAGAGAAAGTTACTTTATGTCTTAAAGCCTATTCTTAATAACAATACTGAATATTACTTATATAGTAATAATTTATCATATTAAGTTATTTAAGTCATTTGCCCCTTCAGTTTAACAAACATTTACTAAATATTTAATACTAGGTGCCCTGCTGCCAGGAAGATGCAAAAGTCTCAACTCTGAAGAGGTAAAAAACCAACATTTTAATGAGTGTCTACTCTGTATCAAGCACTGTGCTTGATGTTGGTCCAAGTTATTTCATTTAAATATGATGGTAACTTGGCAAATACTCCATTATTATTTCCAGTCTTACTATTTAGGGAATTGAGGATGAGAGAGTCTAAGTAATTTGCCCTGGGTGATACTATTAATAACCCATGGCAAGGCCCAAAATTAATCTATTCAATTGAGTAGAATTAAGCAGAATGAGTTTAAATGAGAAGTCTACAAAGACAAGTTTAGTTTTAATGAAAAGCAAAGTCCCAAATTGGTACTGATGGCCAAGACAAAGAATTGCTATACTAAATTTTTGTGTATTTAATAAGGTTTTGAAGAACAACATTTAACTATACATAGTGAACTACATTAACAGACTATATTCTAAACAAACATCTGGATGCTTTCTCTGGGTAAGGAATTGAGATTAATATGAAGATAATTTACCATTTTGACCTTAGAGAAGTAGCTATTAAAGGAGAAAAGTAAAAAGCATAAATAACTACACTCAAAGGAGAATGTGATAAATGTTCTAAGGGTAAAACAACTTCAAAATCACAGAATGTTAGCGCTGGAAGAGGTCTTAAAGGTCTCATCTAAATTCTTATTTTACAGGTATGCCAACTAAAATGGGGAAAAATTAAAGAGCTTCTTTTCCAAGGTTGTAATTTGAATTTAAGAATGCAAAACTGAAACCTTTCTGCTCCTATGTTCTAAAAGCAGAAGATAACTCCTCAGACTATGATAACCAAAAAAATGGCTTCACTATTTTCAATTCATTTATTTGGAATTTATAATCATTTTACTTTTTATTTATAATCAACACATAATAATTGTACATAACCATTTTCTTTTGAGCAGATTAATGTTAATTGTGCTCAACTTTTCCCAGATGCTAAAGCTGCAATTACCAAAACAATTTAAATATGTAAATGCTATACTGATAACAAGGTATTTACTTGACATGACTGAATGAGTTGAGTTAATGAGTCAAAACTGTCCAATTCACTTTGTTTTTATATCGGATTAAGTAATAAAAAGTCCTAACCAAAAGAGTTATGCCAGTTGTGATGTTTAATATTAGTTGTGGGTCAACTTGGCTATGCCACAGTGACCAGACACTTGGTAAAAAACCATCTGGATGTTGCTGGGAAGGTATTCTCTAGATGATATTAACATTTAAATCAGTAGACTTTGAATAAAGCAAACTACCCTCCATAATGTAGATGGGTCTCATCCAATCAGTTGAAGACCTTAAGAAAAAGGCTGACCTCCCCCAAAGAAAGAGCAAATTATGTCAGCAGATGGCCTTCCAACTCTAGCTGCTCTTCTTTGAGTCTCTAGCCTGCTGGCCTACTCTACAGAGTTTAGACTTGTCATCCTCCACAATCACATGAGCCAATTCCTTTAAAAAAAAAAATCTCGGGCTGGGTGCAGTGGCTCACACCTGTAATCCCAGCACTTTGGGAGGCTGAGACGGGCAGACCACCTGAGGTCAGGAGCTCGAGACCAGCCTTACCAACACGGAGAAACCTGGTCTCTACTGAAATACAAAAAAATTAGCTGGTCATGGTGGCACATGCCTGTAATCCCAGCTACTCGTGAGGCTGAGGCAGGAGAATCGCTTGAACCCAGGAGGCAGAGGTTGCAGTAAGCCAAGATCTTGCCTTTGCACTCCAGCCTGGGCAACAAGAGCAAAACTCTGCCTCAAAAAAAAAAAAAGAAAATCTGTGTGTGTGTGCACATGCGTGTATATTGAGACACAGATTATACACACACTCACCCTCTATTGGTTCTGTTTCTCTGAACAACCCTGACTACCACCCCAGTCTTCTAACTGACGCTAAAAAAAATCCAAGTATATGATTCTATGCTATAATTACCTTTAGAAATTGGATCTAGATATAACCTATTTTTCTCTAGTTTTTGCAAGATAATTCCTTTTGTCTTACATTCCTCCTCATCTTCCTTTCTACTTCAAATCAACTTTAGCCCAGAGAAATACTTTCTAATTTAGTAAAAATATATATCCTGCTTTCTTGCACACAAATTCACCCTTCTCAAACAACTATAATGGCAGTCAACCTTTTCCACTATTAAACTTGATCTCCAACCTCAGAAATCTCAGGACATCTTTATTTATTTATTTATTTCGTGCTGCAACCTCTACATGTCTTAGAGTCTTGGTCCCCAATAATTAGCTCCTTTTCTTGTATTTCCCAGAATTTCAATAACACTCAAGGGATATCGAATAAGAAAGGGGACACAGGACTAATGAACCAAAACATGGTCCAATTATTTTCTAATAAAACTAAGTAAGAATTACTACATTTTAACTCCATCCAGGGTATTTATCTTCAACAATTTTACCAACTGAATTCAGGTAGTAACAAATACCCACTAGTTACTACAAACAATATAGTTGGGTCATTTCAATGTATACCCAGAACCTATTCTTCCAGAAATATCCAAAAATCTTCTCTATTAACCCATCAAAGTATGGTCTATATTTTGGACAGTTGTGTATAAAGTATAGATAGATGTTCATATAAGTATGTCCATGGATAGATGTCCATAGATGGATGTCCATACTTACATGGACATCTATGTATACTGTATACATAACTATCTACACTTTATGTCCATACTTATATGGACATCTATCTATACTTTAGAAGCAACTGACTTTCGTTTTATTAATACTCCAAAGTAAAAATCTATCAGGATGGTTTCAATACATTTCAATGATTACAACTAGTTGGGAGCACTGAACTTGGAATCAGATCAAACTGATACAAATCCTAGCTTTGTCATTTAAATGTCATCATTTAACTTCCAAAAGCAATTTCAACTACTTATACCTCTGTCCTCTTGTATAAATTGAAGATAAAAATAACATCTACCTCACTAAACTAGTAAAATTTAAATGAAATAACTTCAAATGAGGTCTAGAACGATGCCTTTATATAGTAAATACTCAGATGTTGGCTATCATGGTTTATCATGTTAAATGCTCAAATATCTGCTAAGTGAATAAACAAATAAATGCATGATTCCTAAGGCCTCTGAATATTCTACATTCTCTGTCTCATTCTTCTCCCTCTTGCAAAAAAAAAAAAAAAGGTTTAGTCAAAGACAACAGGAACAGAGAGGTTCACCGGTACTTAAAGTGATGAAACTAAGCCTTTCTTTTGAAGATATGGCATGCACTGTTTATAGTTGTTCTGGGACGAATCCTACTTCAAAAAAGATATGTTCAAGTCCTAACCCCTGTGAACATGATTGAAATAAGGTCTTCTTGTATGTAATAAAGGTAAGATCAGGTCATAAAGAATTAGGATGGGCCCTAATCCAGTATGCCTGGTTCTCTTATAAGAAAAGAGACACAGACAGAGGTAAGATGGTCATATGAAGACAGAGTGGATATGCTGACACAAATCAAAGAATGCTTGGGACTACCAGAAGTTGGAAGAGGCAAAGGAGAATAATCTCCTAGAAGCTTTGGAGGGAGCACAGTCCAGAAAATAGCTTGATTTAGAACTTCTAGCCTCCAGAACTGTGAGAAAACTAATTTTTGCTGTTTTAAGGCACCTGGTCTGTGGCACTTTGGGTACAGTGGCCCTAGGAAACTAATACAGTTGTATAGTATTTTTCCCATGTGTTTTTAAAAGAACTGAAGCTTCGGCTGGGCGCAGTGGCTCACACCTGTAATCCCAGCACTTTGGGAGGCTGAGGTGGGCGGATCACGAGGTCAGGAGATCAAGACCATCCTGGCTAACACGGTGAAACCCCACCTCTACTAAAAATACAAAAAAAAATTAGCGGGGCGTGGTGGCAAGCACCTACAGTCCCAGCTACTTGTGAGGCTGAGGCAGGAGAATGTCATGAACCCAGGAGGCGGAGCTCACAGCGAGCCAAGATCACGCCACTGCACTCCAGCCTAGGCGACCGAGCGGGACTTGTCTCAAAAAAAAACAAAAACAAAAAACAAACAAAAAAAAACAACTAAACTAAAGCTTCTACATGCATCTGAAAAAGAGAGTATTCAAATTAAAGATAATAATTAAGGAACTGTAGAACCCTAGCAATAACTCCATGGCTCTTCATGTCTAAGTTAAGCAGTTTAGACACCACTTTATAAAGATATTACTATTTGGAAAAATATCTGCCTCAAGTAAGTAGAAAAAAACTATTGGTTAAATTTTGCTACTTCCGTAAAAAGCAGAAAATCTCTTCTTACCTTCAGTAACAATTTTGATGTGATAGGATGTCAGCCACAATAGCCATCAATGCAATATGTTAAAAATTATAACATATTTGAGCCGGGCACAGTAGCTCACACCTGCAATCCCAGCACTTTGGGAGGCCAAGGCGGGCGGATCATGAGGTCAGGAGTTCCAGACCTGGCTGACCAACATGGTGAAACCCCATCTCTACTAACAATACAAAAATTAGCCAGGCGTGGTGGCATGCGCCTGTAACCCCAGCTACTTAGGAGGCTGAGGCAAGAGAATCGCTTGAACCTGGGAGGTGGAGGTTGCAGTATGCCAACATCTCACCACTGCATTCCAGCTGGGCAACAGAGCAAGACTCTGTCTCAAAAAAAAAAAAAAAAAAAAATTATAACATATTTAAAGTGCTTTGAAATGTTCAAAGACATATAGTAAAATTAACCTTTTAACCGGAATAAGACATACTGGTCCAACCAGGGAGAAAATGTATGTTTTATGTCTCACTATTCAGGATCCAGACTTCTGAAAAGTTCCAAAACTGGAAATGAGTTTAAAAAGAAAAATAAATAAAAAGTAGCCCCTGGATGATAAGGAGGCTCAGACACCTAAGAGCATGTAAAATCGGGTGAATGAAGCAGAGAGAGGGAGAAATAGAGAGAGACATTTAGGGTTAATTTTAGGGCACTGGCCAATTATTATGAAGACAGAGAATTTTTGATTGGCTATTTTATTTTTCCTGCAGAAAAGCTCTTAGAAGACTATAACAAACAAAAGAAAGAAGAAATAAAGAAAAAGCAGAGAGAGGGAAGATCAGCATTAACAGCAAAATCCAACAGATCGTGGAAAAATTAGCTAAAATTTATTGACTCTACTCTAAACATCAGGTCTAGTGCTAGAGTATGGGAGGTCAAAGAGCTATATGCGTCACATCGTGGTAAAAACAGGTTTCTTTTGATTGTATTCTGGCGTAAAGCTACTAAAGCCCACCAAAACATATAGAAAGGACAACTCTGAATGAGACTGTTGAAATGAGTGATGCATACCAGCCATACATTCATACCAATCACAATGTTGCTGCATCTACACCAATATTCACAACATAGCATGATGAGAAGAAGGCAAGGCATAAATTCTAGTGACAAAAAACAATGATGACTGTCTCAAATCATCAAAAAAGGACTATGTCCAGAATGCTTGGCTGTGATAAATTAAATCATTTCAAAATCAACTAAGATATAAATAAATAAAACATTTAAGAAATATTTTTAAGACAGAATGGGAGTAAGAATATTTTAGAATAACTGTCACCTCCTCAGAAGTTAACATGTTGGTTAAGTTTGTCTTTTAAAGTATTAATCATAAATTAACCATTAAATCAGTCTAGTCACAAGAGATCATTTTGAAGATTCTAAATAAGTAGGATTTTTATATCATTTTAATTGTTTTTCTAAGACAGGCATAGAATTTTTGCCAACCCATCTAAAGGATTTTCAATGTAAATCACAGCAAATCTTTACAAGATGATGGTGACAAATAATCTGACTATAAAACAGTGAAGCAGAGATAGGATTCCAGTCTCAAAGTAAGCTAATATAAAGTTGTTATAATTATTAATTAATAAATTGTGAGTGCAGAATTGGCCTTGTTTGTCCTACTTAGGGTACAGCTCATATTATAGACTATAACCCTAACCCTTACACAATGCTGGCAAATACTAGGGGAAAAATGGATTTAGAATCTTTTGATATATGATTACATAAAATGAGTCTAACCTAAACACAACCACTTTATTAAAGTTTCCCAGTATCTGTGACTTCAAATTTCATTCATTACTCATTTCATTATTGGTGAACTCGTAAATTACTACTATTAATTCAGAAATACATTTTAAAATTTAATACTTTAACATTTTTTCCAAATCCAATATTTTATGCTCCAATTATTTCTAAGATAATAATCTCCATGCAAGGATACCTTCAAATGACAACCAAAGAAAACACCATAAGCCATTATATCATTAACTTGTTTCTTTTATAGTTTTAAAATAGTGTGAACATGCTCATAACAAGTTTAAAATAAGTTAACTTGAATAAATAAGAATCCTGATCACATATTCGGTTAAAATATATCTCTATGAACAAGTCAGGAATAATGAGGTGGTAAACTTTTTGTTCACTAGCTACAAGAATGCCTTGGTGCCATATTCCTGAATATGTCACTGGGTAAGATAAAGTTGCAATAACCTGTGGAAGTTAAGTCCAAGTTTTCTTCCTTGTTTATTGGGTTTACAATGCTTTTCAGGGAGAGTCTGACCACTACTCACATTTGATGAAGAACTTGTGCCATGGCAACTCCACTAGTCAGCTGTTTGACATCTTGACAAGGTGAGGCAGTATTGAATGTCTGCAGCTAAAATGACATAAAGCAAATGATCTTACTGCCTCTTTATACCTACAAGGTAGCATTACAAAATACAAACATAAATTGAAAACAGATTAAAAAAAAAACAAAACATGGTCCTGTTTTGTTTAAATGTAGACCCAGACAAACAAATGGAACTATGCTAATATGTCTCTATGGCTGTGTAACTTTATAAAAATAAACTAAACATTTCACAAAATCATGCCTAAGACATTAAAACACATTGATGCCATGCATAAGTAATACATAATTTGGAATAATACAAAGCCAGGTGTATAGCTCTAGTCTTGTGTTTTGTCTATATTTAGCAGAACATCAGAAAAAGAACCTAAAGATAACCCTACATTTGCAACTTAAATTTTCACTTATACCATTTGATACAAAAACAAAGGCTAGAAATGTCAAATCTAAAGCTACTTACGGTTTATCCATGAGCTCTGAAATAAGACAGGACTTCTACTTCCTATCTAAAAATTAGCCTTACATCTTGAAGAATTAAGGTCTATCTACCATGTCAAATTGTTTCTATCTAATTTGGCTTTAGGTATACTAACTTTTCACATATATCTGTTAAATATTCGTGTGTACATTGAAGAGAAGTGGAATAATAATCTCTCTTTACAATAAACAAATATGAGATAGAAAAAATTTTAGAAAGCAAATTACATCAGAACTAAAATGGATCATACACTTTCTAGAAATGTAATCTCAACCTATAAAGATCTTAAATTAAATATACTATGATTGCCTTTTTCCACACATACTCACCCACTTCACTGTTAGCTAATAATTTCTTAGTTTACCATTTAACTATCTTAATCCAATAAAATTCTTTCCCACTATAATTCACTCTTAATGGTTCTGTGTATTTTGAGATTTGGCAATTGGAGATTCAGACATCCATTATCTAACACAACACAGATGAATGATACCAGCAAACTAAACCTAGCCAGTTACTTTCAAAGCACACAGAGTCACTTTACTAAGTTCCTACTCTATGTGAGACACTGTGGTATATGACGGGGCTAAAAAGGAAAATCACCAGGTTTCTACCCTTAAAGCTTCAGTCAAAAGTTAAGGAGAGGAGTAAAAGACATAAATCATTTCTAGACAATATGGTAAGTCCCATGATTACAGTCTGCACAAAACGTTCTGCAAAAAATGGGTGTCAACTAATTTAATTAGGGTTTGTATTTAGGAAAGACTTCTTGGAGATGATTACTGAATGGAAAGTCTAGATGGAAGAGTAGCATATTTTCCTTTCTTTTTTTTTTTTTTTTTTGGGGGGGGTTTTTTTTTTGGTTTTTTTTTTTTGAGGCAGAGTTTCACTCTTGTTGCCTAGGCTGGAGTGCAGCTGCAAGATCTCGGCTCACCGCAACCTCCGCCTCCCGGGTTCAAGCGATTCTCCTGCTCAGCCTCCCGAGTAGCTGGGATTACAGACATGCGCCGTCACGCCTGGCTAATTTTTTGTATTTTTAGTAGAGACAGGGTTTCACCGTGTTAGCCAGGATGGTCTCAATATCCTGACCTCATGATCCACCCGCCTCGGCCTCCCAAAGTGCTGGGATTACAGGTGTGAGCCACTGCACCCGGCCAAGAGTAGCATATTTTCTAAGTAAAGAAAATAAATTTTCTAAGTAAAGAAAGGAAAAAAAGCTTCAGGAAATAGGAATATGAAAAAAGTACAGATACATGAGAAAATATATTATTTTTAGGGAACATGCAGTTCAGTATCACTGGATGTGCAGTGCAAAAAAGGCTGGGGAAGGGGTGACAACAAACAGGGTTAAAGAGACAGGACTCCAAAGGGTCGTGACAAGAAGCTTCGACTTATTTTACAGTTAATGGCATTATCTACATTATGGGAAACAGTAGGGTAGTTTCTATCTCACAAGATAGTTTGGGAATTAAATGAAACAGCAAATATACCTATATCAGGGCCTGGCATGTGGCATGAGCTCAACAGCTGTTAGCACATTAGCTATGAGTCAGGGTTTCTCCAAGTATAGGGTTTAGAAACAATATGTATCAGAATTTCTAGACATATTAAATAAGAAAATCCCCAACTGATTCTTTTATTATTATTATTATTATTATTATTATTACACTTTAAGTTCTAGGGTACATGTGCATAACGTGCAGGTTTGTTACATATGTATACTTGTGCCATGTTGGTGTCCTGCACCCATCAACTCGTCAGCACCCATCAACTCGTCATTTACATCAGGTATAACTCCCAGTGCAATCCCTCCCCCCTCCCCCCTCCCCATGATAGGCCCCGGTGTGTGATGTTCCCCTTCCCGAGTCCAAGTGATCTCATTGTTCAGTTCCCACCTATGAGTGAGAACATGCGGTGTTTGGTTTTCTGTTCTTGTGATAGAAAACAGTATGGCGTTTCCTCAAAGATCTAGAACTAGATGTACCATATGACCCAGCCATCCCATTACTGGGTATATACCCAAAGGATTATAAATCATGCTGCTATAAAGACACATGCACATGTATGTTTATTGCGGCACTATTCACAATAGCAAAGACTTGGAATCAACCCAAATGTCCATCAGTGACAGACTGGATTAAGAAAATGTGGCACATATACACCATGGAATACTATGCAGCCATAAAAAAGGATGAGTTTGTGTCCTTTGTAGGGACATGGATGCAGCTGGAAACCATCATTCTTAGCAAACTACCAACTGATTCTTAAACACATCAATTTTGGAGAACCATTGCTCTGGGTGATGAAAAATCACTGAAAAGTAATAAGGAAGAGTGACATTCTTTAGTATATTTTGGAGAGCAGCATAATGACACAGAGTAACTTTATGCTTGAGTCAGGATGACCAGTTAGAAGGTTCCTGCAATGGCTCTGATGAGAAAAATAGATAGCGTAGAGGCAATCAGCGTAATGTTGACTGAGAGGACATGATGAACTAATGGAATATTTAAAATATAAAACAAGGTTTTTGCAACTGGGTGGATGTACAGGGAAGAGAAACTCCAAGAATTAGGGCATCTTTAAAAGGAAAATAAACTGTAACTTCCACTTTTCAGCCCTTCCAACTTACACATTAATTTTTAATGTGTAACTTAGAGTTACTTATTTAACTTTTTACAAAATTGACACAATTCATGATTTTAAAAGGACAATTTCAGTGAAGAATACTAGGCAAAATAAGAGGTACACATGCTAAGGGACTACCTCCATGACCACTATGAGTTCAGATTAAAATCAATTTCCCCTCCTTACTGCCATGAACATTGGAATGTCTCTGAGAAGTTCTTAAAATAGCTGTAAAATAAATTAGAAAACAGAATGTAATTTCATTTGGCTCAATTGAAAGGCTTACAACCAAGAACAGTGAATAAATGAAAAAGTTCAGTGGGGAGGCTGGGCGCAGTGACTCACGCCTGTAATCCCAGCACTTTGGGAGGCCGAGGCAGGTGGATCACTTGAGGTCAAGAGATCAACAGCAGCCTGGCCAACATGATGAAATCCTGTCTCTACTAAAAATACAAAAATTAGCCAGGTATGGTGGCACATGCCTGTAATCCCAGCTACTAGGCAGCCTGAGACAGGAGAATCCCTTGAACCTGGGAGGTGGAGGTTGCAGTGAGCTGAGATCATGCCACTGCACTACGGCCTAGGCAACAGAGTGAGACTCTGTCTCAAAAAAAAAAAAAAAAAAAAAAAAAAAAAAAAAAGATTACTGGGGAGAGTGAGGTCAAAGCAGACAGACAAAAGAAAATGTATTCTTTTAACTAAAGTCTTTTTAGTGAGTGACCTGAAAAGACAGCCAGGGTTTCCACAGGTGTCTATCACTAAACACAGTATTCTGGCAGATAACTACCTTACTTTCTTCTACATTTCTAAATAAAACAAGTAATCAGAAATGTGGAAATGCTGTTCCTAAACTACTTTAATGTAAATGTCACAGAAATCAAGGAAAATGGGATTTTCACAACTGACAACCAACAGAAACTCAATCTTGGATCAAATTTATTTTCATATTCTCCTCCTCCAGCTCCTCATTACAAAAAGACAACCATTGCTTTGAGTTTTAAGATCCTCATAAAAATAATTGAACTTTTAATAATTTCTAAATTTGGGCATATATTATTACTCTTTCAATCATCTGCCTATCAAAGAATGCAAGAACCAAGAAAAAGATTTAAAAATATTTGGTCCAACCTTCTAATTTTATTGGTGAAAGTAAAGTCCAAAGATATTAAACAAATTTCCCATGTCACAGAACCAAGTAGCAGAATTAAATTTATCTTTATACAAACATTTCTTCAAACTCTCATACATGTCCTCCAACATGTAAATGATGTCCACATTTACCCTTTTGTCCTGAATTCTCTGCTAAGTAGCAGTACGACATTTCTAAGAATCAATTATTTTAAGAAGGTGAGTTCCAAATCATAAAATGCAATTTTTAAAAAATTGCCACAAGAGGCATTCCTTTACATAACCAACTTTTCTTGATGACTTCTCTAATCTGTTGACGTTGGCTCCGTTCCTCCTCTTAGTACTGAAAGAAGAGTTATAACTGTCTTATCTCCATGATTTGGCCCCATCATAACTTTTTTTCATCTTCTATCTCTGGGTCAGGGTTATCATGACAAATGTGTATGTTCCACTATCTCCCTTTAATCTATAGCCAAAGGAGACCATTTGTTTTACTACTAGTGTCTCTTCCCTGTGTCTGGAGAACAAATCTCCACTGATTTCTACTTGATAAAATCCAACAGTCCTCTATGACCCAGTTAAAAATTCACTCCCAAGTATTTATAAAAAACTAAGCTATATCATACTTAATGGTGAAACACTACTCTCTGAGGTCAGAACTAAGGCAACGATATTTACTATCACCATTTTGATTTGGTGTCTTATTGGCAATAGTTGTCAGTGTTCTCCTAGGGACAGAGCAGAAAATAGGTCATGTAAGAGCTCTGATCCCAAAAGCCAACTGGATTACTTTAGAAAGTACTGTGTTATAGATAAGAAAGAAAGAGGTTAACAAGTTACAGTGGGATAAGGGTTGGAGACAAACAGGTCACTACTTTAGAAATGGTTGTAACAGAGTCCCTGAAAAGCAACATCTGACCCAAGACCTGAATAATGGAAGCAGCCAACCACTGGAAGAACTAGAAAGAAAATATTCTAGGTAGAAGGAAAAAAATCCCGGCTGCATTAAAACAGCTTAGCTTCTTCAACAAATAGAAAGTCAATGCAGCATGATGGGCTTGAAGAAGTGTTGCTTGAGGTGAGTTTGGAGAAAGATCGGTAGGTGAGGTAAGATCAACAGTGCGGTTGCTGGCAAAGGCAAAAAAATTAGTTAGTTTTTTAAAAAAGACAGTAAACTTCACTGGAAATCATCTAAAGAGGTAAAGAAAAGGCAACAGACTAGATAACCAGAGACTAAGACAATTTCACAAAGGAACCATCAAGTAAGAAAATGGTAATATAACACTTACTGGATTTAGCAAACTGGTAATGAAGTGAAAGTCTTAGAGGAAAGAAATTCAAGTGTAGTGGGTTGAAGACTGAGCGAGGCATAAAAGGTGAGTATAAAACAACTCAAATTTTACTGTGAAGAAAAGGGGAAATACGGTGTGACTTTAACATGGAGTAGTGGCTCTTCTCTGTTTAAAAAGGTTAATATTTCAGCAAGTTTATATGTAGAAAGAAGCCAATGGAGAGATAGTAGCTGTAAATACAGAAAGGGAACAAATGATACAATAACGTTTTAGAAGAGATGGAAGGGATGGAGCCTAAAGCCAGAGCCAAGGATAAGGAGGTGGTAATTTGCCCGAGAGGAAGAAGAGTTGGGGGCTCAGGTAGAATACCGATAAAGGTTTGCTAAGAGGCATGTGAGAGAAACTATCTGGTTATTCTTAAGTATGGGCAATGCTATGAGAAAAGGTGCATTTGGCAGTAACAGTATTAGTAGAGGCAACAGTTTGGACGGTCATTCAATTTTCTCCACAGTGCTCAGCAGCCCAAGAGAGGACTGAAGCAAATGACCAATTTTACTCTGTTATCCGTGATTTCTTATCATTTGGTTGATATTTTTGCAGCTTTTACGGAATTTTACCTTCCACTGTAATTACACACAGCTCTGGCTACCACTCCGGTCCTCCCCAGTGCCTACCTCAACACTGGAAGTCAATAAATTCTGGTTAAAAGAGTGGATACGGTGACATAATATTTTAAAATATTACAACACGAAAGAAAATCCTGTGCTTCTCCACCACCTCACATGTAAGTCAATGACATCACAAAGACTAAGCTTAACACTTCAGTCAATAGAGGTTTACAACAATGTAACAGATTCGGATACACCCTTTAATTAGTCTCTTAACAAAATAAATCATTAAAAGTAATGTTGCCTTGTTTCATGAGTCTTAAATACAGCACTTCCACCCGAATACCTATTTCAAATGAAAATTCAGCTGAACAGTTAGCTAACTGATTTTAACTCATGAACCCTAAATATTTGCATTCCACTATAAGCAAAAGTTATTTACTTACAAAGTGTAAAAGTTGCTTTAAATTATGGCTATTTCCAACAGACTTCACACACTTCCATAAACCTGGATTTCTCATTCTTTGGAATTAGATGCATTAGATCACTAGGGAATCTCCACTGATTACAGCCTCCTGATCCAGTCTGTTTACATTCCATTCTAAAAACACTTCCCTACACACAACTAAACAACTGGTTTGGGATGAGCATCATCAACAGCACCTTGTGGCCCATCAAACACCATCCTTGCTCAATACGGGTTAGGAACCACACCTGAATGCCAGCACTGATATCTAAGTAACTCTAAGAGGTGGGATGTTATTTTGCTGACTGGAATATTGAACCATCTGGGGGCAGATACACCTGTCTAGACCCAACACAAATTAACAAAAATCCTAAACATAGATAAATCTTAAAGAAAAATGTCAACTCATTTTATTTAAAGAAAATGCTGTCCATTTGGAGGAGGAGAGGGCCAGCGAGAAAAGGGAAAACGACTCCCGACTCCCCACACATCTTTTTCTCCATACGGGAAATACAAACATCTCTTTGAAGCGGCTTCTACAAAATCGGATGTTCTAGAGTCCTGAAGGAGCACTGGTCCGGGAACTAAAACAGCCAGCCACCTGCTGTCCACCTGTGTCCAGGTAGAGCAAGGTGGTTTGAGGATGCGGGATTAGGTTTCAGAAAGGGTCTTCACGCCCAAGCGGACGAAGGCAAGACAGTCAGCGATCCAGAAAGCCCAGGGCTCAGGGAGCTGTTCAGGGGGAGAAAATGGGGCAGCGGGGGGCGCTTGGTTCATACCCCAGCTGTTAGGGACACCAGGCAGGTCGAATCCTCTGGCTGAGACCAGAGCCTCCACCGTTACGGTCCTACAGCTTCCTTTACCCCCGCCCCCGGACACCAACCCGCGCCCACACACCTGCCCAGCGACTCGCAGGTGGCACTCTCTCGGTCAAGGACGACACGAGGTGCCAAAGACAGGGCGCGCCGGGACCCCTGTGCAGGTAGCCCCTGCTCACCTGGGAGAACAGGGCGCCCCAGGCTCCTCGCCTCGACCTCCTCGCCCCCTCGCCTCCTCGCACTCACCCAGATCATGAGGCTGTCGCACAAGGGCAGCTTGGGCTGCGGCGGCGGCTGCGTCTCCTCCATGGCCGGCGCCGCCGTCGACGACGCCGCGGACACCTTCACCTCCCCCCTCCTGGCGCTCCTCCAGGAGCCGGCGTCCACGACCTGCTAGCCCCGCAGGAAAGCTCGGTACCAGGCCCGACCCGCGCAGCTCACGCGCGAAACCTCGCGCTGCCGACGTGTCCGGCGTCACCCCCTCCTCACCAGCCCCCGCCTCGCTCCAGCGTTCGCCCCCTCCCCTGCCTGGGCTCCGGCCGCGCTGCCAAGCACCTGAGCCCCGCCTCCTCCCACCCCTCCCCTCCCCTCCTCCCACCCGTCCTGCCCTCTCCCGCACACCTCCCCCCGCCGCCCTGAGTGACCTGGCCGCGCACCAGTCACAGAGACGGTAGGTACCCGGGAGGGCTGGCGGGGCGGGGCGGGGGCGGGAAGAACCGGGATAGGTTGCGCAGGAGGAATTGCTGATTGGACGTGCCCTCGTGGGCTCTGACCAATCAACGCGAGACAAGCCTGAGCCTTGGTGAGAGGGTGAGAGTGGGTGGGAAGAGGTTTATGACCTGGCAGGTGCAGTGAGGGCGGGGGCGGGAGATTGCGCGCGGGAAGCGAGCGCGCGTGCGCGATGGGGATTGGCAAGGCTGAAGCTTGCACAGCCCTAGTGGCCAAAGGGGCAGAGGGGCAGCAGGGCACCGGCCAGCCTCAGGCTTCTTCCCTCCTTCTTCGCGGTAGCACGCCGCCTGGCTACACCTGTGGAAGCCCACACTCTGCTTCCACATTGTCTTCAGAAATAGATCATACCAGTTGGGCCAGGTGGCTCACGCCTGTAATCCTAGCATTTTGGGAGGCTGAAGCAGGTGAATCACCTGAGGTCAGGAGTTTAAGACCAGCCAGGCCAATATGGCGAAACCCATTCTCTACTAAAAGTACAAAAATTAGTTGAGAGTGGTGGCACATGACTGTAATCCCAGCTACTCAGGAGGCTGAGGCAAAAGAATCGCTTGAACCCGGGAGGCACAGGTTGCAGTGAGCTGAGATCACGCCACTGCACTCCAGACTGAACAAAAGAGCAAGACTCTGTGTCAAATAAAATGAAATAAAGAAAGAAATAGATCATACCCATGAATTAAAACTCTTCGAGGAAGGCAGAGCTGATTTCCTCCTAGAACTCATTGGAATGGGATGTTTTCATTTACACACGTGGCAAATGTGCCACATTTATAAGGAAAATAAAATCCGTCAATGCTCCTTAAATAAGCTCTCACGGGACCATAGACCATGAGCAATTTTATTTTACATGGGGCAAAAGGGAAGACCGTTTTCAAGTAGCAAAATAAACGAAATGTTTTGAAAACATGGAAGGTATCAACGTATCCATTTTCCTTTGGTTGAAAATTTACTTTTTCTGAGAATGTTGCGGGGTGGAGTGGGGCGGGGGAGGTGACCTAAAATTGGAATCTCTCCAAGGTAATGATGGCTTAGGTTATTGAAAAGGGCTAGACTATTCTTAGTGTTGCTGTCACTTCACTCATTCATAAATTTATCAATTCATGCTCTGAGAAAGAAAACAGCTGGCTTTTTTTTATATTGCTGCGTTTTTATATTTAGACACTGAAAGTTTAAAACTGATGGACGACTGCAATTAAAAGCCCCCAAGTGTAAAACAGTCTCATTCTAAAAATACAGTACGTACGTTTTCTATTGACTCCCTTAACATTATTCCAGAACTTTCTTAACGCCTCTGGAGTCACTTTATATGCTGGAACTAGGAATATTGGTAATGTGATTTAATGAAAACTACAAGATTTAGGAATTGAAGACCTGGTCTGCATCTTGACTTTATTCCCCACTGGCTGTTCTCCTATGGCCCCCAACCTCCACATTCCTAAGATCATTGTAATTAAAATGTAAACATACATGGTAAATGTAAATTGTGAACTTTGTAAATATGAGTTACTATAATCATATATACATATGGGAACTTCTCAACATATTTATCACTGAGAGTCACAAGTGACCAAATTACTCAAATAAAATAATTCATGAGAGTAACTGGGGAGCAATTAAGTTAGGTTTCTGTACTTTATAGAGAGTAAACTATCAGGGAAGGAAAAATTTGGCAATCTTTATCAAGAAACTTTAAAATATCCATATTATTTAAACCCATTATTCCAATTTATTCTGCATCAGTCATACATCCTATTGAAATCATCAGAAGTGCATTTGGAGGCTTTGAACAATGATATGTATGGCAATGCTATGTATTGATCAATTGTATAATCGATTGATACAATGCCCAATAAGCAAGAAATGCTAAATATTTTACAGCAGATTCAGTGCTTTGGAGAATATTTGATAATTCAGGAAAGTTGTCACAATGTATACTATTAAATAAAATTTAGATGAAAGTATCAGCCGTATGACCTCAATATTATAAATATTATTTATGTATTTCAATATATATACAGGAAGAAGATGAAAGAATAATCATAAAACTGTTATATTTATATACAAATGAAAAATGACTGTTTTTCTAATCTTCCATATTTTCTAGGCTTTCTACAATTAGCTTATATTACTTTATAATCAGAAAAAAATACTTTAGAAGAAATGCCAAATACAACATAAGTTATCATTTCCAACTTTTAAATTGGCATTAATTCTTTAGAAGTTGGCCTCCATGTTTGGGGAGTTGAGTGAAACTAACTCTTCAACCCTAGCTGTGGGATTACAAATTGGTAAAATCTGTCTGAAAAGTTTTTTGACAATATATATATCAAGAGCCTTTAAAATGTTCAAAGTCTGTAAGCCAATAATTTCACTTTCAGAATCTAAGAAAATAATCATATGCCAACAAAGTTGTTGATTGCAGTACTATTTATCAAAGCAAAAAGAAAAGAAACAGCTATTAAATGTCTGAAAGAGAAATGATTAGACACAGTAAGTTATAGTTATACAATGAAATGTATCATAGGCATTAAAATGTTTTAAAATAAGTTTAATTATTCAGGAAAATGCTTATCACATAATGTTTAAAAAAAAGTCATTATGCAATCTGTGCATACAGCATAGATCCCCACATATACATAAATATATGGGCCAGGTGCAATGGCTCAAACCTGTAATGCCGACACTTTGGGAGGCTGAGGTAGTGGGAGGATAGCTAGAGTCCAGGAGTTTGAGATCAGCCTGAGCAACATAGCAAGACCTTGAATAAATAAATTGATAAATACTTTAAATAAATAAATAAATATAAATATATATTTGTGTGTGGATCCTTATTTGGGTGTGCCTGGATGTGTGTATATATACTGTACACATACACACCCAGAGAGAGAGAAAAAGAAAGAGACTACAGAAAATATACTGAGATGTTGATAGTGATGATGATAGTCTAAGTATTGGAATAATGGGTGAGTTTTACCTTCTTTGTAATTTACAGTGAATTTGAAAATTTCTACCATGATTTTATTGTCACAGAAAAGGAGTAAAGCCTGAAAATGTTTAAAATTATGAATATGGTAGAATCTCAACTGTGAAGAATATACGTAGGAATACATGCACACATACACACGTGTGCCCATGCATGTGTGCATGTGTATGCATCCATACAGAGGGACATTGAGAAGAGAGTTGGCTAAAATTAAGCCCAAAGTTTAATGTTATGGAGACCTGATATCACTTCTTATTGCCTGGGTGATCTTGAACAAATGACAATTTCATTAAAGCTCAGTTTCAGTCTCTCTAAGCTCGGATAATACTAGTATATTTCTGTGTGTTTCTGTATTGATTAGGAATTTTTTTGGTGATAAGTGGGAGAAACCAAACCTGGTAGCTTACTTTTTTAAGAATTTAAGTTTTTGGAAGAATACAAGAGGGTTCACAGATTCAGAGGAAGAGCTGAAGAACCCAGCATGGGAAAGTGCATGCCCCAGAATAACTCATTGGATCTAGATAGCAAAAACTATGGGAGTCTCTTCAGGATACCACCACCTGGATGAGTAGGGTAAAATGGCTGTTCAGTCTTTCTGAGTCATTCTGTTTAAGATTCCAGTTCCAGGGAGAGCATCTGACTGGCCTGTTTTGGGATTTGTGTCTAACCCTTTCCCAGAAGAGGATAGAGCACCTAGACTGGCTGCCCCACATAGGCTAAAGACCCAAAGCAAGATCACAGAGCTGTTGCCCATTGAAAGGAGGAATGATGCCTGCAGACAAAAACAAAACCAGTTTTTTCCACATGACCTCAATACGGTTGTTGTGAGGGTCAAATGTATGTAAAATGCTTAATACAAATCCTAGCTTATAGTCGTTGCTCAGTACATTTTAGTTATTCTTTACACCACACATGTGTGTGCATGTGTGCACTGAAAAGAAAGCTGAAAAAAATATTAAAATATTAGTAAACATATTCATGGTAATTAATTATTATCTTTTTGTATTCTCCAATTTCACAAAATGGATGAATATTCATTTTTTACTTCAAACAAACTTTTTTGTGTGTGTTAGAGAGAAAGGATCAGAAAGAGATTTTAGGTTCTAAGTTGGTCTGTAAGTAAATAGATAAATGATAAGAGGAGAAAATCCTTAGCTAGGCACTTTAAATAGAACTGTATTAGGCTCTACTTGTAAAGAAGATATCTGTGTCTTACACATACAGTGATGAAATGAAGAAATGGAGAATTCTAAGGCTTTCCCTGCTGATTTCTAGGTAACCCTGAATGTCTCAGAATGGATATCAGCTAGAAGACTCTGACCTGGACAGACACAGATCTAGACATACAGTTCCTGCAGTCATGCTAGTAGAAAGACCACACCAGCAGCAAACAGTGCAATTGGATGTCAGCAGCAAAGCATTCATTCCTGAAGGAAATTGTTGAACCCACACACAGAAAATTCTGACAGCATTGTTTAGGTAAAGCTTCTGCTTCCACAGACCTCCAAACACTTGTCCTGCAAATGTTGAAGGTAGGAAGGAAGGATGAAGGCATAAAAGAAGGGAGGGAAGAAAGAGGGAGAAAGGAAAGAACTACAACATGGGCTTAATCTCAGCAACCAAGACAGAGATAGACAGAACGATACGAGATCCACCATAGGAATTAGTTTGCTTTTCTGGATGATGCCCACAAGAGTGGTCTACAATCAAATATGCAAAGAATTATAGCAAATAGCAAATTCAGGCTACCTCAAGTCAACATCAAAGTCCAGAAGCAGTTGAATGCAGCAGCTGTAACA